TGACTCGCTACACACACCTGCTCGCAACCAGACAACAGAAACAGGGAGGGAGGGAGAGAGGAAAGGAAAGTATTGGAATTCAAGGGAGGCTTGGAAGGGAATTGATGAATGCAAGTGAGCTGAGGTAGCCTGGGATAGTCCCAATACCCCGAGTTCAAATGCTGGGGAAACTCCGAGGGATTGTTCCCAAGACAAAATGAATGCAATTGATTGGTGGACAAATGAACCGTGGGGAGGTCCAGGGGAAAAAGGGGATTTTTACCTATGCTAGTTTTCATGCAAAAACTTCAGAACTGGCTTTGCTACTTCTGTGCCTAAGTGGAATTATACTCTTGGAAAATAATGTCCTAGGACTTTTTTTTGGCATTTATCAATGGGACAGTTGCCTTTTAGCTGCATTGTAAAGCTACTGCACATTTCCTTTGCATCCAACTATGTATTTTCGAAAGCACCTTGGACATGACCTACTTACAAGCTTTCTTTAACATCTGCCAAAGGAGAAGGTGCAGATGTTTTCCCCAAAGACAGGGAGATATACTTCCACATCCTTATTATGATTTTTTTAAATCTCTATATTACATTGGGATCCTGTTCTTCCTGCAAAAGCTCAGGGCAAGCTCTCTGACCTCGGCTGATCTTCAAAAGCTAAATAATCATTTGTTAATAGTTGGATTTGGGATGGCCAGAAAAATTGTAGATTAGGAAATTTGGAGACATGATCAGACAAATGTTTTCTTCCTTGTGGAGACTTGGTCCTTTTCAAAGGACAACTGGACTTTCTTGGTTGTTTTCCTTGAAAACGTTTCACTTCTCATCAAAGAAGTTTCTTCAGTTCTCCAGTTCAGATCTGAAGAAGTTTCTTAGATGAGAAGTGAAAAAGTTTTCGGGGAAAAAAACCCAAGAAAGTCCAGTTACCTTTTGGAAAAACACTTTTGGGACAACCTGGATGACTGAGAATCTCCATAGACATCCACATAGAACTGTTGAGGATTGGGATCTACAGCTGAGCCACGGTGGCGCAGTGGTTAGAATGCAGTTACTGCAGAATACTTCTGCTGACTTCTGGATGCCTGCAATTTGGCAGTTCAAATCTCACCAGGCTCAAGGTTGATTCATCCTTTCATCCTTCTGAGGTCGGTAAAATGAGGACCCAGATTGTTGGGGGCAATAGGCTGACTCTGTAAACTGCTTAGAGAGGGCTGTAAAGCACTGTACATAAGTCTAAGTGCTATTGCTATTGCTATATGCTGACAATATCCAATTGTACAGAGCTGCCTCTGGAGATAGAGGAAAGGCCATCAGTGTCTTAATCCAGTATCTGGAGGCTGTGAGTGTCTGGATAAGCAAAAGAGTTCGAAAGTGAACCCAATTAATTTGGAACTGCTGCTTGTTTACCACACAACTCCAATGCTTCTGTTGTGGTCTCTTGACAGCTTAGCACTGTCTCTGCAACAGCACATCTGTCTCTTGAGGACCTTCCCGGTCTCATGGCAACAGATAAAAGCAGAGTTAGAGGCTGTGGCCAGGAAGGCTTTGTTGATGTATCGGTTGCAGTCCTACCCAGACCTGCAAGGACCTTGTAATTATAACTCATGCTCTGATCATCGTCCATTTGTACTAATGCAAGGCTCTCTCTCTCTCTCTCTCTCTCTCTCTGCGGAGCTGTCTTTGAAGGCTGCCCTGAAGCTTCAGTTGACTCAGAATGAATACTGGCTGTACACATCTGCAACATGGACATGAATATTAACACCTCTGGCCCTGGACTGGTTCCTTATTTGCATCTGAGTAGAATTCCAAGTGTTGCTTTTAACCTTCCAAGACCTAAAGGACCTGGCAGTACTTACGGGACTGTCTTTTTCACCAGGTCTCAACCGGCCCATGACATACATGACAGGAGAGCCTTCAACTGTTTTTTCCCCCCACCCATTTCTGCAAAGTGTGCGATTTTACAGAAGACATTGTTGAAAAAGCACTGCGCAATCTAAAACCATCTCTATCTATTGGACCGGATGGAATATGTGCCTACTTCTTTAAAAAGCTATCCACTGCCATAGCCAAGCATAAGCATAATCTTTGAAAAATCTTTCAGGACCAGCTCCTTGCCTAACCTATGGTCACAAGCCACGGTCATCCCCATCTTCAAAAAGAAAGACCCCAGCCTAGTTGAAAATTACAGACCAATCTCCTTATGCTGCGTCACTTGTAAAGTCATGGAATCAATTATTAACCAATCCATCATCCTCCACTTAGAAACAAACAACCTACTCTCCAATAAACAATTTGGTTTCAGGAAAAAACTATCATGTAATCTGCAACTCTTACATTGCAAAAACATATGGACTACACAACTCGATCAGGGCAAAGCAATAGACGCAATCTACATAGACTTCTGTAAAGCCTTTGATTCAGTGGTACATGACAAACTACTCCTAAAACTAAAATCTTACATTATCTCTGGACACCTGCATAACTGGATAGAAGCATTCCTGTCAAACAGACAACAAATGGTCAAAATTGGGAGTGTCCTATCAAATTCTGTACCTGTCAACAATGGTGTCTCCCAAGGAAGTGTTCTAGGACCAACTCTCTTCATACTCTACATAAATGACCTCTGTGATCATATCAAGAGCAACTGCGTTCTCTTCTCTGATGATGTAAAGCTATTCAACACCACCGACAATACTGCTACCCTTCAAAAAGACCTTGACTATGTATCAGAATGGTCAAACAAATGGCAACTTCAAATCTCAACAAATAAATGCTCTGTCCTACATATTGGCAAAAATAATAATAATCAGAAAATAAAATACAGGCTGAATAATCAAGACCTTGTTGATCCAAACTCTTTCAAGGATCTTAGAGTTCTCATCTCCAATGATCTAAGTGCTAGAGCCCATTGTAACTATATAGCCAAAAAGGCATTAAGAGTTGTTAACCTAATCTTACGTAGCTTTTTCTCTGGTAATATTACACTAATAACAAGAACATACAAAACATTTGCAAGACCAATACTCATCAGTCTGGAACCCACATTACGTATCTGATATTAATACAGTTGAGAAAGTCCAGAAATATTTCACAAGAAGAGTTCTTCACTCCTCTACTCGTTGCAGAATACCTTATACCACCAGACTCGAAATTCTAGACCTAGAAAATCTAGAACTATGCCGCCTTCGGTCTGATCTAAGTATAGTATATAAAATCATAGATTGCAATGTCCTACCTGTCAATGAATACTTCAGCTTCAACCATAACAACACAAGAGCAAACAACAGATACAAACTCAAGGTTAATCGCACCAAACTTGATTGTAGGAAATACGACTTCAGCAACAGAGTGGTCAATGTCTGGAATACTCTACCTGACTCTGTGGTTTATTCCCCAAACCCCAAAAACTTTAACCTTAGACTGTCTACTATTGACCTCACCCCTTTCCTAAGAGGCCTGTAGAGGGTGTGCCTACCATCCCTGTCCTATTGTTTCTTTAATTTTTTTATTTTTCTTATATGTATCCATGTATTCATAACTATGTTTTTACTTATACCTATTATCTTGCAAACAATTGACAAAAATAAATAAATAAATAAAATAAAAAACAAGCCATTTTGGCACTTTGAAAGAATCTCCACCCAGATCTTCTGGTCTTGGTGTTCTCTAAGCCCTAGAAAAACTGAAGCTTTGTCATAGAGCCTTTGAATTATGGATGCTGCCAGTTATAGCCCAGTGTATGCTCAGATTTGTTATTTGATTATCTTGTTTGATTTGTTTTTATTGTGGACATTTTATTCTTTGTACCGATGGAAACGGTAAACCTCGGAGAGTCTCTCTGCAGCAGGGATGGATCCAGTAAATAAATAGGAGGATAGCTGGGCTCAAAGAGACACATTCTCACAAACAAACAAATCCTCATTTCCTTAGTGTGTTATGATACAGGATCTTCATGCTTCAACTCTTCCACTCCACCCCTGCCCTTGTAGAAATCCAGAGGAATGGGGAAAATACCCATGATAGCACATCATGTTTTCGGATTAATATCTCTAACATTTGGTGATGGAACATTGAAAATATTTCCTTTGTGTTTTGCAAGAACCTCTACCTTAGCAACTGGTGCTTAGCACAAAAGGCATACTACCCAGGAATCTAAGTATGGGCATTTGTTTTGAAGAGAAGAATTTGGATACTCCAATCCACTTTTGGTCTTCCTCAAACTTCCTTCATTTTAGGACGATAGTTAAGAGCTTGGGAGGAATCCCAGTAATCTCCTAGAAATCCACTTCTAAGTTTTGCAATCTTCACCAATGCATTGCAAAACATCCATGGACCCAAACGGACAATCTTACTACTTCTCAATATTTGGAGTGAAGAGAAGATATGTCAACTTTTGATTTTAAGGTCTTGGATAAAGGAAAAAACCTTTACTGGGTCTTTGTTGGCTATCTTCTCCCCAGAAATGACTGGAAAAGGACAATAGCTTGATATTTAGAAGATTGTAGCATCTTCAAGGAACTCAAAGAAGGGCCCCTGTGATGGGATTCAAATTTTTTTACTACTGGTTCTGTGGGCATGGCTTGGTTGGTGTAGCGTGGCTTGGTGGACGTGGTGGGGGAAGGATACTGTAAAATCTCCATTCCCACCCCACTCGGGGGAAGGTTATTGCAAAATCCCATTCCCTCCCCACCCCACTAACCTGTTTTCCAGCTCCGTTCTCCTGTGCAGGGCAACCAAAGAAGACTCAGTCGATCAGCTGGAACTCGGGAGGCAGAGAATAGATGGGGGTGGGGCCAGTCAGAGGTGGTATCACCTCTGTCCGGTCTGAAACTAAGAGTGTCCACCTACTGTGCTGCAGACATACTGGGAAATCTCCAAGAATTCCCAAGTAACCCTATTGATAGCTATATTGGCTGGAAGAGTTGCAGACCCAGCCTATCGAAACACTTCCAGATTGGAAAAAAGATGACACACAAAGAAAGATTCAGAAAGGGCAGATCCAGCAAGCATACCATGCATAGGTGTCTTTTCTCTTCTCCGTACCCCTGTCACTCTACCTCTTTCATATTCAGAACTCATGGGATGATCCTCGCCTTCAATTAACGTGTAATACTTCCCACTTTCTTGTTCCAAAAAGTAGCTTGGAGATTCAGAACCTTTCATGGCAGACTTCCCAATCCCGTATTTGCTGATTTCATCACATGACACAAGGCCGATGTCATCCCTGGGAAGAAACGAGAGAAACAGTAAGACTGGTACCAAAGGTAGCAGGGCATAACTTTTCAGCCTTCTCATAATAAAGTTGATGCACCTGTCATAGGTTCAGGGAAGATACATTAGAGTTGCCATAATTGTTTGAACTAGAATTCCTGACTGGCTGTCCCAAAAGTGCTTTTGCCAAGAATCTTCTTCAGTTCTGAAGAAGCTTCTTGGACGAGAAGCAAAATGCTTTCAAGGAAAAAAACCAAGAAAGTCAAGCTGCCTTTTTGAAAATGCACCTTTAAGACAATCATGACTTGGAGGATTGAGAATCTCCATAGACATCTTGACTGGCTGGGTCAGAAAGTAGATAACTAGTTCTGATTCATCTAGGAACAAAAGTAAGTTCAACCAACTTAACCCAAAAGTTATCACAGACAAAACAATTCTGGAATAGCACATTGCTATTAAAAAGGAATGTTTATGCAATGGAGAACCTGCATTTTTGACTTCTGGGCCACAAATTCCTTCTGCATATGGACCAGATTGTGCTGTATTGGCTGAAAGAAGACTAGCACAAGAAGAGAAAGTTAATCTGCTAGAAAATCATACTACAAAAATATGACTTTGGTCCAATATATCCACAAGGAATGATCATATCCTCAGAAGGTGACTTTTCTAGAGTACTGTTTGAAGTCTAGGATTGAAAAGAATTACTGTATTTCCCCCAGAATGAGACCTAACTGGAAAATAAGCCCTAATGCATCTTTTGGAGCAAAAAATAATATAAGAACAGGTCTTATTTTCAGGGGAACATGGTATAATAGACATTGGGCACTGGCTTTCATCACTAAAAGCCAGGGATGATGGGTCTTGCAACTTATGGTTGATTAGATTTGTAATCCAATGCATTGAACTGCCTTCACCCATACAGGTAATCCTCAACTTACAACTATTTGTATAGCAACTGTTCAAAGTTACGACACTAACAAAAGTGACTTACAACCACTCCTTGCACTTATAACTGATGCAGCATCCCATAGTCACATGATCAAAATTTGGGTGCTTTACAATTGGCATGTATTTACAGTAGTTGCAGCATCCTGGGGCCACATGATCACCTTTTGCAATCTTTCTAGCCATAATCTTCTCCCAAGCAAAGTTAATGGGGGAAGTTAGCTTAACAACCATGTGATAAACTTAACGACTCTGGCAAAAAGGGCCATACAATTGGACATGACTGGCTCATCAACTGCCTTATGTCAGGGTTCCTGCGATTGCCCTAATTAATTATCTTTGTAAGATAAGCGTGGAATATACTTCTGGTTTTAATTGCTGTACTGCTCCTTCAGGTTCCCCCCTCACCTGCTTATGGCAACTCAAAAACAGACATAGGAATGCTTTATGAGTTGACACTTTGCTTAGCAATAAACATTCTGGTTCCAGTTGTGATTGTCAAATCAAGGACCACCTGTGTGGATTATTAGACTACAAAACCTTACTTTCTTGAAAACTCACATGGGTTTGCTAATGGTCCTTCATTCGGTGCAAAGTGCAATTCACAAATCAATGAATGCATGAGGATGTCACTTCTCATTTAAAAGGCTTCTTCAGATCTGGAGAACTGAAGAAGCTTCTTAGATGAGAAGCCCTAACATTTTCAGGGAAAGAAACCAAGGAAGTCAGAACCACATACTGATTCTTCAATATAAGGCCTGCTGAAGAATTGACTTGTCTGTAATTCCTTTTCCCCAGCAGCTTCAGCTCAACCAGAGGTTGTCATGAGTGGACAATGTTAAGAGTGTTTATTCCTACTACTATTAATTACATTTAATCTGTTGGTAAAATTGTCCTCCCACTTTATTACTGAAAACAATTCCAGAGCAGGCTTAATGACAAATAACTTATATACTCTGTTAAAACTAGAGCAACATTTATAATAAGTTAAAAAAAGAACTCTCAATAAAAATGCTAAAATAACTCCAAAGTAGCCTCTAAACATTCCAGACAGAAAAGGCACGGCAGCATCAGGTTAAAGTGAAAGTTACTGCTGCTATAATTTTAAAACTCTCCCTGAATCAATAGATTTCAAAGTGGGATTCAATCATTAAAACAATATTGAAAATGGAACAAAGGGGCAGGGGGAAAGGCCTTTAAAATACATGCAGGCCAAAAATTCACACACACTGTCTTCTGCTTAGAGTAACACTTCAGGGGAACTCAGATTACTAATGAAGTTAGCTGTAAGTAAAGGAAGGGGAAAAAAACCTAGGTCCAGAAAAATGCAACAGTTTGAGCTTAAAAAGCAGACCTGGATTAAATGGTCTGTCTAGAGTAGTGTTTCTCAATCTTTGTCCCTTGAAAATAGATGGACTTCAATTTCTAAAATGTTGGCTGAGGAGTATTGGAGAATAGTTGGAGTTGAAGTCTGCACATCTTCAAGTAACTAAGATTGTTGGGGGCAATGTGCTGACTCTGTAAACAGCTCAGAGAGGGCTGTGAAGCACTGTGAAGCGGTACTGCTGTGGCCCATTGGCCGCTGCCCCCTCCAGCAGCTGAATCAGAAGAGGAGGAGGTATGGGAGTCAGGGCCAACATCAAGGCAACCTGAGAGCTCCGAGGGGGAAGAGGGAATGGAGCTGGCAGAGAGACAGATAAGGCAAAGCCAGAGCCATCTGTCAGCCCTCAGATGGGGAGTCAACAGCCCCCAGGTCTGGAGGTGGCTGATGAGGAAGAGGAGGAACAGCTAAGTCCAGTGCCTGATGCACGGATGCACAGAAGGCAGAGGAGAGGAGAGCAGTGGAAATCTATGAGCCGATCCTTGGGATGGAAGAGCCACTGCTGCTAGCAAAGCCCCACAGAAGGCAGAGGAGAGGAGAGCAGTGGAAATCTATGAGCCGATCCTTGGGATGGAAGAGCCACTGCTGCTAGCAAAGCCCCACCCAAGCTCTAGGGATAAAAGGGAGGGAGCAGAGATGAATAGATGTGCCAGACAACTATTCATCTTCCAGACGGATGGCCTTGTTAGTCTGTGGTGAGAGAGAAACTTTTCGCCAGGGCTGCCAGCACTCCTAATTAAAGGAATCTTTTGAGTTCACTTCAGAAGGTTTGTTGTGTTTGGGGAGCTGGGCCAGAACAGGTATACAAGTCTAAGTGCTATTGCTATCATTCTAAACAGGCAGGGGCATCAGTCCTAGGCAAGGCGTACCTGGGGCCATAGAGTCCTGACACGGGGGAGAAGATGAACACATCTTGCAGTGTCGAGTTGTCCATTTTGGAGTTCATACCCATTGTGCTGGTTGGTGTGGTGAAACTGCTTGTTGGGCTGGTTGGAATCACAGGCTGGAAAGGGGATAGGAGCAGAAAGAGAGAAAAAGAGAAATCTACTTAAACTACCTGCAGGTAGCCTTCTCCTGTAGTGATATTCTACCAGTTTGGCCCAGTTCGGTAGCAAAAAAAATTGAATCCCACCACTGAGCCTGTCCCACATTATTTCATTGCAACAAAATTAATGCATTGTCCCAAAGTGTACAGTTGACCTGTTGAAAACTTTCACCTTCTGGATTGATAATCACAAAAAGGTCTCTCCAACAGATATTCCACTTGACTATTTATTAACTGGAAGCCCTTACTTGTTTAGAAGAGAATGCTGTAATACTAACAAATTATTATTTTTTTCCCTCCGGAGAATAATTATTTATGCAACATGGACACCCATACACATCTATGCGCAGAGACTTAATCATGGAAAGCAGGAGTTGGCTTGTGGCTCTAACATACTGTGACTCAAGAAGATGAGCCATTAGTTGAAGTCATCTCCAGTTTATAGACGTTCATACAATCATCAGATATTGGAACTCAGTGCCTAAAGGGGATTGGTCACATTAAAGCTTAGGCAGAGATGCATAAACACTGTGCATTAATTTTGAAATGGACTTTTTAACGAAATCAAACAGCTCTTCCTCTAAGATATTTAGAAGCAGGGACATTTTGGGAACAGCATGTGGATTGAACATATTGCGATCGCCATTCATAAGAAGTATTATGAAAAGCTTTTTGCCAATTACCTAAGACTGTTAAAACATTTCTAACTTTTCTAAGTTTTCAGTTTCATAATTCCTTCAGATCCATCATCGTAGCTGGTCTTTTTTTCTTTGAAATGGAATTAACAGCAGAGGTGAGCAAGAGAAACACTATCTCTTCTGCCATGTCAAGGTCAACTGTAGTATGGATGCTGGAAAATTTACACAGGGCCTCTACATCCGTAGTAAGGAATTCGTCTGAACAAACAGAAGCCAGAATATGAGATTTGTATGCCTTGGTAAGAACACACTTGGAACACTGCATCCAGCTTTGGTTGGCACGATGTAAAAAAGATGTTGAGATTCTAGAAAGAGTGCAGAGAAGAGCAACAAAGATGGTTAGGGGACTGGAGGCTGAAACATATGAAGAATGGTTGCTGGAATTGGGTATGTCTAGGTTAATGAAAAGAAGGACTAGGGTTAACATGATAGCAGTGTTCAGATATCTGAGGGGCTGCCACAAAGAAGAGGGGGTCAAGCTCTTCTCCAAAGCACCTGAAGGCAGGACAAGAAGCAATGGGTGGAAACTAATCAAGGAGAGAAGCAACCCAGAACTAAGAAGAAATTTCCTGATGGTTAAAATAATTAATCATTGGAACAACGTGGCTCCAGAAGTTGTGAATGCTCCAACAGTGTAAGTTTTTAAGGTGTACTATTTCCTGTCTGAGCAGGGGAGTTGGGCTAAAAGACCTCCAAGGTCCCTTCCAACTCTGTTATTCTGTTATTTTCCTGGATATTTTGTGACTCCTGTTCTCCGATATTTTTGCCCTTCTAGTTCTTTTTCACGAAACAGAGTTAAAAGGGGCCAAAGTAACTTCCTTTAATTTTAGGGATGTGTGTTTTAATACTGAGCATTTCAAGAAACTAATGAATATGCCTTTATATATCTATAGCCAACAGGGTTGAATTTGGAAATGTATTCCTGCCACACCATATATTCAAGCATAAGTTTTGCATTTGGAAATATGTTGCTTTTCTGCTTGCCCCAAAATCAAAGTTAGACACTAATTGTCCATGAAATAGTCAATTCCCCTTTCCATAAATATTCATAACACCGTGAAATAATTCTTTAGGAGTATTTCTCTGTGAAGCCTGCTCAGCAATAGCAATAAGGTGATGAGAGTGGGGGAAAAAAAACCTCTGAACTTATTTTGGGGGGAAAAAAACGCTACTAAAATTCTATGAAAAGAGATTTAGTCAAGAACCTATTTTGGTCCTGTGACTTGAAATCAGCTCACTTACTTCTGGCTGGTCCTATCAGAGGTGAAGGCTGCAACTTTAAGATAAAGTTTTTTTTTTCCTAATTAAAATCTGATGACATCAGCCAACAAAAACAACTTTGCTGTCAGAAGGTAATGATTCTTTGCTCTTATGGGAGCATTAAGACTACCCAAAGACAAAGATATATCCAAACATGAGTCCAGATTGCTGGAAGCGCCAACAAAAACATGGTACCTTCTTTCGTATGTGGTGTTTGTGTCCCGAAGCAAGGAAATATTGGGCTAAAATTTAAAATTGGCTACAGGAAATTATAGGTCTTCAAACTGAACTCAAACCCAAAATGTTTTTATTAGGAATAATTACAGGAGAATTTAATAAAAGAACCAAGTATAGTGACAGTGGCAAGAATTGCCTATGCACAGAATTAGAAATTAGACAGTACCTCTTCTGAAGGTATGGTAATAAAGAAAGTATTGGACTGTGCAGAGATGGTTAAACTTACATTGGAACTGCAAGAGAGGGAGGAATCAGAATATTATATGGTCTGGGATAAGTGGTATAGTTGGTTAGACAAAAGAAATAAGAATTAAAAGTATGTATGTATGTATAAGTGAAAATGTCAATGTCATAGAGTTGTTAAGAATGTACAAGAGACGTGTAATTGTGGAAAAGCATAATCAACATTATTTTTTAAAAAAGAAAGACTAGCCAAAGAACCAGTTGCAAATGCTGGGAGAGATTTAGTGTGTTCTGACCCAAACCTTGTTCCAAGGAAACAAACACGAAACAGAGGTAACAGCAAAACTTTTTAATGATTCTTTTTGAATTCCGTTCCTTCATGATTAAAAGGCTCTTTCAAACTAATTGTCTCTGATAAGAACGAGCCTTGCCAAGGTTGTGCGAGGCTTCCAAGAATACTAAAGTTACTAAGAAATATTTCAAACACAAGGAGTCTCCAAACACCAACCAAGATATTCCGAACGTCCACAAGGCTTGAGTGCAAAAACTTCTTTGCTTCCTGCAAAGAACTCAGGTTTCTCAGCTGGCTTTTATCTCTTAAGCGAGGTCTTTCTTTTGAGCAGCGCTATGCACATGCGCACTGGGCACAGGCTCCTCAGAGACCTCTTCATCACTGCTGCCAGCCCCCACAATATCCAAAGGCAGCATTCCACTCCCTGATGGTCCTGGCCCCATCCCTGCATCACACGCAGGCCCTTCATTTGAGTCCTCGCTCTCCAAGACCTCAGCTGTCCGCATCTGCTGCCAGAGAACCACAACAAGTGTCAGGTTTTTCATTGGAAGAAAAGGGTGGTGGTGGATTTGATACATTTAATTGTTTTCCTCTCCATGTATCCTAAATATCCTATTACTTACATTGGCTTTGTATAACCATTTACATGATTTATAACCATTTCCTGGTGCCCCAGATGCCTGGAAAAATCTCACCTCTTCGAGGAATGTAAAGGGGCCATGTGGATTGCAGCACCTGAAGATAACTCCTGGGAACCTGTCCTTATCTTCTTTTTCACAGATGGTGGGATAATAACATGTTCACACCTGTGGATTGGTGGAATCCACACAGGACAGTGGGGAGGGGTTTTAATTCCCTTTATCTTAGTTGCATGCCCTGAGGGACCCTAGACCCTGCTTTGAATTTTGACCTGCTTTACCCCTCTTCAATAAAAAGATTCCTTTTGAAATACAAAGTTTTCAAGAGTTCATACTTATATTTTGAAGGGTGGCGGGGAGAGGCTGGTCCTTACACCCAGAGGGAATAAACTTTCATCAAGACTTTATTTTACAGAGTAGGGCTGTGGCTCATAATTAAAACATCACTAGCTACAAATGAAAATGGCCATTGAGAAGATAGAGTGGAGATATTGAAAAGGTCAACGCTAGAAGCAAAGGATGGGAATGACAAGGAAAAAGATTTATTTAAAACAGGCCGCAGAAGGGCTAAATCTGTCAGAGATGCTGGAAGGGTGTCATTGCATCATAGATTTTGCAATAGCAGGTGAGTCAAACTAGAGAAACATGTTTCAATCTTGGCAACTTTAAAAGCCTGTGGACTTCGACACCCAGAATTCTGCAGTAAGCCATGCTGGCTGGGGAATTCTGGGAATTGAAGTCCTCAGGTCTTAAAGTTTGCCAAGATGAAAAACAATGGACTAAAGGGTTTTAACAGATTAACAGAGTTGGAAGAGGCCTTGTAGGTCATCTAGTCCAGGGGTTGCCAATCTTTTGGACCTCAGGGACCACCAAACTCATAATTTTAAATCTCAAGACCAGAGACCCTGGGAAAGTGAGACTTGTCGCGCCGGCGCAGCCTCTTGGAACAGGAAGCCTTGCGGGGTCCCAAAGACTCATTTCTGGTGGAGTTTGGGGGAGAGAAAGAAAGACTTTTGCTGCTTTCCTTGTGTGGAGCCAAAAGCAGAAGAGGTGGAAAGAAGCAGCCCGGTGGCCAGGCGACGCACGTGGGGCAAGTTTTGCCCCTCCACCCTTTCCCCCCTCCCCTCACTACCTCATGTTGTTCACAATGTAAGTGATGCAAGCCTTGTGTTCCTGCAGGCTATGTGGGCGGCGCAGCCTTGTGCTCCTGCACAGCCTGGATTAATTGCTTTGGGGATGACATTTCTCTGCGGACCACCAAAATTTTCTCGTGGACCACCAGTGGTCCCCGGCCCACTGGTTGGCAACCACTGATCTAGTCCAACCCCCCACCCAAGCAGGAGACCCTACACTATTTCTGACATGTGGCAGTCCAGAATTGTGGGAGTTGAAGTACACAAGTCTTAAAGTTGCCAAGTTTGGGGACCCCTGCTATATAAGGGCAAGGGTGTTTGCCAGTTTTTTTTTTTAAAAAATATATATTTGGAAGAATCTCTCCACTGTGAGAATTTCTCCAAACTTATCTTTTCCTTTGAAAGAACATTAGAAGCAAATTCTCTTTCATGAAATGAAAGAACCGATGGATTTTCTTTGCCTGGTACTAACATGGATGATGGATGACTCTGAAGCCACCTCACAGGACAAGAGAAA